CTTCTATAACTTATTCACTCTTTCACTGTACTCGAAAACTCTTTCACATCTTTTTTCCTTTCTTCAAGCCCCTGATATCTCTTTCCCATTCTCAATTTAAGCTGATGACTTTGTTTCCCATTTCACTGAATAAATAACTGTGATAACTGAAGCACTCAGAAGAGAACTTCCAAGGCCTGCCAACCACATCTACTCACTGATCTGCATCTTTGCCCTTTTCTCTGGCCTTCAGTTTTGCTACTAACACTCTGACTAAAGCCAACCCTCACTTGAACACTTTGCCTTTAACTAATTTTCATTTATTCAGTGAAGTCTTATTAAATACCTACTAAATGCCAGTCACTACTCCACGGATTGGTATTATAACAGTAAACAAAAATTCCTACTTTCCCTGTTGGAGTTTTACTCTGTAGTGAAGGGAGACAGTCAGTAAACAAAAAAAATATGCAAAACATACAGAACTAGTTTTATAAGTGCTATGAAGATGTGTTATAAGTCTATTTCAATACTCAAGAAAAAAAATCGTGGGTTGAATGTAGGTTGCTGCAGTAATGGTGATAAGAAGTAATACAATTCTGGCTATATTTTAAAAGAAAAAGAGAATTTGCTGGCAAACTGTAGGTGAATATGAGAAATAAACAAGAGTCAAGGTGGCTATAAAATTTTTGACCTGAATAACCATGAGAAATGAAAATGAGACATAATTCACTAAAATGGGAAGACAATAATTGAAACTGATTTGAGGACTGAAGACCAAGTTGATATGCCCAATATATATTCAAGTAGAAATGTGAGTATGTAAGTCAAGTTCAGAGGACAGTCTATGCTGCAGATAAAATTGTAAGGGTTATTAACCTATAGGTGGTATTTAAAACCATAAGACTAAATAAGATCACTAAAGGGTAAACAAAAATTTAAAAAAAGAAGAGATTCAAGGCTGAACCCTACAGACTCTAACAGAAAAGCCTGAAACATTGACAGCAGCGGGTAAGAGACCTAACCAGAAACAAAAGTACTGACAGACTATGCTAAGGGTCCAGCCCATATAAATCCATGAATTTGTAGTAAGGCAATTTGCTTGGTTGTTTGATAGTCTCTCAAGAAATGCTAAACAGATTACTATAGGTACAGAGAAAGTCAATTAAAGCACTTATAGTTTAGGTTTAGGTGTGGTTTGGGTAGAAGAATATTGTGAGTATAAGAAAATTAAGAGAGCCGGGCTTGGTGGCTCAGCCTGTAATCCCGCGCCTTTGGGAGGCTGAGGTGAGTGGATTGCCTGAGCCCGCGGGTTCGAGACCCGCCTTGGCAACTTGGCGAGACCTCATCTCTACAATAAATCAAAAATTAGCCGGGCGTGGTAGCGCACGCCTGTAGTTCTAGTTACTTGGAAGGCCAAGGCGGAAGGATCGCCGGAGCCCAGCGGGTCGAGGCTACGGTGGCCGGGAGCGGCCACTGCACTCCAGTCTGGACGACAGAGTGAGACTCCAACTCAAAAAAAAAGAAAAAAGAAAAGAAAATTAAGAGTGGGCAATGCCTTCATGTCCCCTCCCAATTTGGGAGCTTTTGTGTCTTCTCAATAAATCCTGCTTTCTCAAAAAAAGAGTTCTGATGAGAGTAGAGCAAATGATCAACCATGAAGTTCAGGCTAGATAGATAAGGAAGAAAAAAGACTATCATGTTCAAGGAACTAGAGGTCTCTGTGGTTTGGAAAACAGATTAGATATAATGGTGACTATTGGAGAGAATGGCTCAGAGTCATAATATGATATAATATTTTGATAACTTGGTCATTAGAAGCATGGCAATCCTGGATGATTACACAATCAGGCATTCGCCTTGAAACTGAGTATTGGAGGCATCCCTGTGAAAAAAGAGCCATGCTGGGTGATGGCAAGACTGGAATCAGGACAGATTTGATAGCATACTGGCACAATCTTAAATAAATGTGAAGCTGGGGTTAAGAGGATCCTGGATCAGACTATGTGGGACAGTAGATTGTTAATTAGAGATTTTCTTTGTGAACATGAAATCAAACAAAGATCATTTAATGTCCTTGTAGGAGATTTCACCCAAGTTCTAGAAGAACCTAATGACCAAACACTGAAGGTTATAACATTCTAGTAACTAAGATCCTATACCTTGTAGGAATAACACATATGCCTTATAACAGGGCCCCAAGGGGGTCACAAACTGGTACTTGTCTGTGGTCTGTTAGGAACTGGGCCTCACAGAAGGAGGTGAGCAGGAGGCAAAAGAGCAAAGTTTCATCTGTATTCACAGCCACTCACCATGGCTCACATTACCACCTGAGCTCTGCTTTGTGTCAGATCAGCAGCAGCATTAGATTCTCATAGGAGTACGAATCCTATTGTAAACTGTGCATGCAAGGATCTAGGTTGCGCCCTCCTTATGAAAATCTAATACCTGATGATCTGAGGTGGAGCTGGGATGGTGATGCTATATATTTCATTATATATTACAATGTAATAATATTAGAAATAAAGTGCACAATAAGTGTAATGTACTAATTCACTTGAATCGTTCCAAAGTCATCCCTCCTCCCCCTCATCTGTGGAGAAATTGTTTTCCATGAAACCGATCCCTGATATCAAAAAGGTTGAGGACCACTGCCTTAAAGGGCATGAAATATACAGGTAAACCCTTCTGAGCCACCTTTTATTTTTCAATACTCTTTTCTGACTTTAAAGTCAATACTCTTTTCTGACTTTATTGCAGTCAAGCCACAATTCCTGGGTGGCAGCTTTTCATCAGGAAATAATAAATCACCGCTTTCCTTTGTAAGAAGAAACATCAGGTCCCTTGTGAGGTTTGAGGAGCCCACTTGTCTGATCAGCAATGCATAATGCAACAGACTCTAGATGTATTATTTTCTAGGAAAGTTTCTTTACATGACTAACCTCATCAATATCATAAAGGAATGGAAAGTGGTTTTGGCGAGGAAATCACTAAGACTAGTTCAAATAATCCATCCTAAAATTTCATTTTAGTAGGAAATAAAGATAATCTTTTAGCAGTTAATGAAGGAGGAGTGAAATTGTGACCTTGTCTCCAGGTTCTATAGTTAAGCCCACCCTTTCTCCCACATGATAATTATAGGTCTATTATAGGTTGTATCCAAATGAAATTTTAAAACTGATATATGAGCCAGGCTCAGTGGCTCAGCCTGTAATCCCATGCCTTTGGGAGGCTAAGGTGAGTGGATTGCCTGAGCCCGTGGTTCGAGACCCGCCTGGCCAACCTGGCGAGACCTCATCTCTACAATAAATCAAAAATTAGCCGTGCGTGGTAGCGCGCACCTGTAGTTCCAGCTACTTGGAAGGCTGAGGCGGCAGAATCACCGGAGCCCAGCAGGTCGAGGCTGCGGTGGCCGGGAACGGCCACTGCACTCCAGTCTGGGCGACTGAGTGAGACTCCAACTCAAAAAAAAAAAAAAAAACTGATATATGAAAGGCTTCAGTATAAACATCTCATGGTTACAAAACACATATAGCCATTATAAACAATAAGTAGCTTTACCTTTTAAATCATATAAAAGACAAAAATTTACTTCTCCAAATGCCTTGCACAATTTGTATAGCTCAAATGCTACTTAGATATCTGAAATACAAATTGAGCTCAACAATACTACAAGCTATAGACTTTTTAAAGATTGATAGCTATAATTTTTAGTGAATAGCATGGAAACAAAGTATAAAATGAAAACGAATGTTATAATAGTGTACTTTTATAACAATACCCTTAAAGAAATTTCTAAACATAACCACATGCTGACAATGAAAGAAATGAAAAGAAGAAAAATTATTCTCTTTTAATTTATTGTTATAGTCTACAAAAACATTCATATCCTACTTGAAATTTCCTCATCAGTGTCGGAAAACAATATTTTATTTTAGTTGAACCAATACATGATGTCATCGCAGAAAACATAAAAACGGGAAATCTAATAGGATTAAAGATGTATTCATCCTCCTGGGCTACTATGGGAAAATAACAAGATCAGGGAAAAGTCCTCTCCACATACATATCTTCAGAACAATCACAGAAAGGGCAATCGTTTGGTATGCGCTTTTAAGCTAACAGTACAATGTTAGCATGGGGGTCTTTTCTCCGCCTCTACCTAGCATCCTCTTATCTTACCAAAGATCTGATATTCATTTGCAAAGAATTTCTGTTGGAAATGAATTTGAAGTTACACTAACCATGCTATGCAACGTTCAGATGAAGAGCCACATGTTAGCCCATAGACTGTTGAATCCCTTGTCTAGGAAAGAAAAAATATATTTGCTATTCACTGCATACTGTAGCCAAATTCTGCTGGGGCCCAAGAATGGATTGCTATGGTGATGAAAAATCATTTTCCTCACAAAGCAGCAACAGATGCATGCTAATAGCATTGCACTTGGTAATTGCCAATTAACACGTTCAGTTGTCAATGCCATTTAAACATCTTAGTTCCTATCCTTGGGAAACTGTTTTAATAAAAGAAATAAGAGATGAAAGGATTAAAATTTTTTTCTAAATACACTTTGAAATGGTCAAAATCTCTATCACCTTCTCACTGGACAGCATAATAATTTGAGAAATTGGTTTCCCCCATGCCATGCAAGCTGACTGCTCCTATGTTCGGTCTGGGGCTGTAATACTTTCCTTTCTTACATTTCCCTAAAAGTTCTCTTCCTTCAGATGTTGACACCCACACTCACAGATGGCCACTAACCTTCTGTTAAGGCACTACAGGGTATCTTAGCACTAAAACTATGCCAAGGGCAGTCCGGAGCTTTTTTTTTTTTTCCCCAATGAGCACTGTTGTCTTTATCAGTTCGCCCTTTCCCCTGACTTCAGATAACATTTCATTTCCATACACAGACAAATTTTTCTGCATCTGGTTAACTCCCCTCACACCCTCACAGCAAACCTCACCAGCACAGTGCACTGCTCTTAAAAGTTATTGAAAGCATCAAGCAAAGACTTCCTTTTACCTGGGGTGTGGTCTGAACGCTCCCTGCTAAGATGCACGAGTTCATTTGGAAGTAATTGTTCCCGCAGTCACTGAGAAGCCCCTGTTCTGAAAGCATTGATTCATCACATAAGGGAGCCAGCAAGCCAATGACTGAGGTGGGAAGGGAGCCTCATACTAAAACAACACACACACTCACACAGAAAAAAAAAGGAATTCTAAAAAGAGGTAAAGCAGAATCATTCCTGAATTGAAGACTGTTGTCAGCTCCACAGAGCAGATTTATATTGCAGCAATCTTTCAATTTAGAACTTTATGAGAGGTCATACTGACTGCTGAAATGGTATCAGTCGAAGTGAAAAAATGTCACCTATATGCATCTATCTTCTCTTCTTTTCATGCATTTATTCCAATTATATATTCTGTGAGAGGAAGAAAAAAGCCAGATTGTGCAGCAAAGAGAAGCTGATTGAAGGGCCCTAGCATCTGCCAATCTCAATAATCAGTTGGTCACAAGCACAGAGAACATTTCGTGGTATAAATACATGCAAACATTGTGTCTAAATAAAGAACTGGAAAATACACAGTTATCATTTCAAAATGTCAATAGCCCTATCTGCCTTTGGTATATAAACTGTAAGCAACAATCCGGGAGCATCTGTAGTGACTGAAATCTTGCTATTAACAAAATTAGCTCTAAAATAAAGCTTGGAAGTAAACAGTTGTCAAAACAAAATCCCATTCCAAGGTTCCTGGAAGTCAGTGAATATCCTGACTACAGACAAACCAGCCTCAAAACTTTACACATGAAATTGATTGGTGTCTTCAGCTTGAAAGTTGAAGTATTTCTATTTTCTAAGTATTGATTTTTCTCCAAATCTGTAATATCTACATTTGTGCTTTGGCAGTGAAAGATATTGTATCCAAAAAGTTAAGTCTAGATCAAAGGCTATGGGAAGATCTTATTTTTGAAACCAGTTTATGCCTCTTCCCATTGTCAATGTTACCAAAAACTTGAGTTTATAGAAACACTATGAGTAAAATAATTGCTAAAAGTGATTCTATTAGTACAGTGAGAAAAACTATTCCAAATAGCACAGTATATTTTGACCTAGAATATAGTCTAAATTTAATGCTCTATCACTAAAAAAAAAAAAAAGTTACATTCCTTCTTTTATCCTGCATATATTTATGGACACCTGAAAGAGGATATCATGTCTTCCTGCCCTCAAAAAGCTTACAGTCTGATTGAGGATACAAAACAAGTATACAAGTAACAGAGACACAAAGTGAAAAAAGAAAAACCCTCATACTGCCATTCTCAAACTTTTCTGCACACATAAGCCCCCTTGGGATCTTGTTAAAATGCAGGTTCTAATTGAGATCAGGATGTGGTGGCAGATTCTCTATTTTCAAGAAGCTCCCAGGTGATGCCTTGCTGCTGGTCTGTGACACTTTCAGTGGCAAAAACTCAGAGGAATTTCAGAGAGCAGTGAGATTGCAGCCACCTGGAATGAAATAATTCAAGAAGGTGGCATTTGGGCTGCACTTAAAAGAAGAAGGAGATGGGTTCCTATGAAGGTGTGATGGACTAGCACTGATTTCAAGCAGAGAGAAGCTAGAGTGAAGGCACCTATCAGAACAGCTTGGGCAGTCAGTCTCAGATGCAGTCATAAAGTATGAGACCTTGGAGTCAGGTTATTTGCCAGCTGTGGGACCTCAAGCAATTTACTGACCTCTTAAAGACTCAGTCCTCTCATCTGTGAATTGTGGATACACATAGTCCTCATTTCACAGAGTTCTTGTGAGGATGGCAATTACATTCAGCATGGAAAGTCCTTCGCTGTCTCCCAGGCAGATACTTAAAATATGTTACTACTGTTGGTACTATTGTTTTTATGTTGGATAAATAACGTAAATGAAAATAAAGGCAAGTAATTCAAGAAAAGCAGGTTAAATCTAGCTCATCAAAGGTTTTGAATTAAGATGGTTTAGCTCTATTCAATGAAGAATAGGAATATGAATCCAAACATCAAAAGGTAACATCAATATATCTTAGAGACCACACTTATCTCAAAGTTCTAGTGTGGTTCCCCAAGAGGAAGTGACAGACCAGTCCTACATTTCATTCTGTTTTTCCCCTCTAATCTTTTCATTCTCTCATTCCCTTCCCCCAGACATAAAGCAATATTTATGCAAGTCATCACAATCAAATTTGGAAGAAAAAATACTACAGCCTCTACTCTTTTCACTACTTAAATTCTTCCTTGAATCATTTTGCAAGATGAGAACCAATTAAATTAATCCGTTATTTTGGTATTTTGATATTTTTCTATATATTATTACCAACTTCCCTCTAATCATTTTATTTCCCTTGTTTGATTAACTAATAGTTGGTGCTGCTATACACTATTTCTTATAATAATAGAAGACATGATTTTTACTTAAAATAAATGCTTAATGGCCATGCATATAACAGCATGCTTCAGCCATCTGGTTAGTAACTACATATAGCCTCCAAGAGCACATGTATTTTGGATAATTTCTATAGAAACCATTCTATATTTAAATAGAAAGGGATGACACTTGGTCAAAAAAACAGGTCCTAGTCTTGGATAACAAAGAAGTACATAAATTACTTGAGGTAGAGAGGAAGGGAGAGTCTACCCTCTAATTAAAACCATCTTTACTATAGACAAAGAGTCCCTTAGGGTCTGCCCAAGACCCTTAAGCACATTTTATAAACACAAACTTTTAGTGCTCTGTCTCTCACTAAGGAACACACATTTCTCTGTTGAATAATCTTTTTCCATAAGAAAATAAAGTTTGTCAAAGTTTGTAACAGATTAATACACTTCAAAAGTCTCTTTAAAATCTGACATTATTGAGGTTGAAGCAGGCATCCTTCACCCTTACTGCTAAATAGATATTACAGCAATACCTTTGAGCCAAAGACTCTTAAGATATTGCTTTTATAATAAATAATATAGAACAAATCATCTCTCTTCCTGACATAGGAAACAACTTTGAGAGGGAAAAAATGGATTAGTCCACAAAAGTTTGCCAAGAAACATGTAAATGATTAAACAGATCCAGCTGCCAAGGCTATTCAGACATCCATTTGTCTGTTTTTATGCCCTGTGACTGATAACAGAAGGTACTAGAAGTTCATTTATTTATTTTAATAAACATCGATTGAGTGCCAGGCACGATTCTAAGCTTTGGAAGACATAAAGATAAAGGCCTGGAGCCTGTTCTCAACATGGTTTATAGTCTCATTAAAGAGACACCTTTGCAAGTGACACCAGCAGTGAGTGGAGTAACAAGTGATGTGCTGTTGCATGTAGGTTGCCTGGGAAATTGGTTTCAGGCTGTTCCTGGGGATATTTTGCTCTTAGCTTCTGTCCTTTCAGGTCCTGTTTCTGGTGACCGCCGTTGGATGGGTTCAGCCCTATGTGGTGTTTTTCCTGTGAAGATGGGAATCATCAGGGGTGGGGATCCCTGTCTCCTGGGTAATGGATAATTCTGGGACTAGCCCAATTCTCAGACTCAGAACTAGATGGAAGATATTTCTTTTTTTATATAATCAATATTTTTTATAATGATATTGCGGAGTACGGTTAAGGGTTAGGTATACAAATATGCTTCGTTCAGGAACCCTTGTTGGTAAGAGGTGTCTCCCCATCCCCATAGTTTCCCATCTCCCCCCCCCCCCC